GACCCAATTTGATTTTTAAGGAGGGTAGGCATGGAGGACAAGGAACAGCCTCCTCAACCCACTTACCATACAGACACCAATACCACTGAATATGTGTGAATTTGTATTCGCATGCCTTCATAGATTATAAAGGATGTGATAGTCTCTGTTAAATCTTGGAAACTTTAAACCACTGCCTCTCCCCCCATATTTGGTCCAACTTTATCTCCAGTTCACTCATTGCTTCTGTTCATCTTAAAAAGAAATGTGATTTTAAAATTCATGTCCTTAACAATATTTTTAAATGAAGCACCCAGAAAAAGTTATAAGCAGTTTAGTCCATTTCTTAATTCTCTGCCAACCACATGAAGTCCAACAAATATGCGCAAAATAAATGAACTACAGGATTGCTAACCAATATTTCAGACATCTAACCTATCATTGGCAATTGCCCTTTGATGGATGTACTGTAGTAGATATCCATTAGGGAAAGGGTCAAAGTGATCAATCAATGATATTGCAGCCTGATTTCTTTGTCAAGGTTATGTCTAGATTTATTATGATATCACTGATTGCTTCCTAGCACCTAGTACTAACATGATCTCACAATCAAAATATTGGCAGGGGGTGTTATCATTCTTATTTGGTCCCAGGATTGTATAATTCTACTACCATACTTCTTATAGAAGAGGTCCCTTGGAAATTTGGAATGCAAATGCAGTTTTTTTTCTGTTTCCCAAACAATTTTTAATGTCCAACCTAATAGTACTTATTTATTAATTTAAAAATATAACATGGCAAATAAGAAATTTGTTTTTCCTATTATTATCATACTTGTTTTCCCCCTGTAACAATAGTCATAGTTTATTCTTATCTCAGACATGTAAATATGCCATATGTTAGAATCATTTCCATAAGTATTCCATGTAAGGCTACTTCATTACTTTGTTGCTATATTGCATATTGTTCCTATAACAGTACTATTTATTTTTGCAATGGACTGCTCCATGTTTTGTTTTGTTTTTGTTGTTGTTAGAATAAAAAGGTTTACATTAATTGCAATACATATTCAAAGAAATGCAGTGGGATACATGTGACTACAGCATAATCCTATACTTTCTTACAAAATATGAAAACTAAAACTCATTAATAATTCTTTGGACTAGATTTCTAGATTAGAAGAAGTAGATGAGGCATTTGCCTCCGGAGTATATGATCATATGGTTTATAATTCACACTGATCTCACCAAATTCTAGTTATAGGAAAAGGGAATAAGATATTGAAGATAACATCTTCTCAAAGTGTAAGTGATAGGAATTAGAGTATATCTTTTTCACACATATATCTAGCTAAATTAAATTTTTATATAAAGCAAATGGGTTGAAAATTTGAAAGTTACCAAAATAATAATTTTATCATTATTCTGTTAAAAAAATATTTGCCTTTAACAAGTCTGCCTTTCTGAAAACTTACTTTTGGCCAGCCCCTGCATGCCTCCTCTATGATGAATATTATCATGTGCAGAGATTTGGTGTCAGCTTCAAACAATGTAATGATGAGATTTCTTTTCCTTTGTTGTTGCAGCTGCACCAATGGAAAGATTGCCTCTAGCTGTCAGTTATGTGACGGCTACTGTTACAATGGTGGCACATGTCAGCTGGACCCTGAGACAAATGTACCTGTGTGTCTGTGAGTATTTTACAACTCTGTGGGCTTTTAATAGTATGACTTTGGTTGTACATGGAATCCCTGCTCTATTGTTCTCCTTTCTTGGGGGAAATACATTTTAAATAAATATTTCATGGACACCTTTGATCAGGTATTTTCTCTCATTGGCTCTTGTGCTACAGAATCTCCTCCTTCATCAGTTGGCTAGTGACTTCATAAGGAGAACTCATTTAAATTTTAGCATCATACCCATTTCAGACATTCATAGAATTTTGAACTTGGAAGTGTTAGGGGAAATTGTTTTAGTTTTATTGACTTTATTCAGATACGTGAAACCCAGACATGATCTTATTATGAATACTTCAGTACTTAGGGTCATTCTTTTCAAAAGACTTTTAGGTATAGTTTCAAGTGTATAATGCTTTTGGTATTTGTATTCATTTTAAAAGTGTTGTATTATGCAGACCTATTAAACCTTGCTCCTTTGTAATACATTAACTCGAACCTGGGTTTCTAAATGTTTGGAAAATATTGGAGATTCTCTGCTTTAAGAAACTCTGGAATTTAATATTTCCTCCTCTCAAATAACTAATGGTCCAGAATGGACAACTTGAAATAAAACTATTCAACTTATGTGTCCTCTACTTTGAGTTTTCCTTTATCCCTGCTTGACCAGAAGGGTAATGCCCACATAAGACCCATGCCTGCATTCTGTACCCACCTCGTCAGAGTAGCATGTGATGAGTTTGTATGAGAGAGAAGTGAGCATTCTTGAGAACAATGTTAATCACATATTCTGTATAAAGTAAATTTGAAACATATTAACAAAAAATACCAAGTCAGATGCTTTATTTAGCTGTATTTTACTGAAATTCTGCAGATGCTCTGTGGGGTTTAAAAGTCAGCGCTGTGACCAGAAAGAGAACCCTTGTGATCACTACTGTCAGAATGAGGGGATTTGCACTTTAACTGCGTTTAATGAGCCGAGATGCAAGTAGGTTTAACCTTCCACTTACCGCTCCACTTCGTGTGACATCATTTCAGGCCACAGTCCATTGGCTTAAATCATGAACATCCACGTGCATTTCAGTGTATACTTAATCCCCGGGCTCATCTGTGTCATACACACTTAACCTGTGCTTCGCTCACCGACAATTGTATGCACCATAGTCAGAAAGCCTAGAAATGTAATGGAAGGAATGAACAAGTTCATGAAACTGTCTAATGAAATATATTAGTTAGACTAGTGCTTTTAAAGAGAAGTATAGAAGCAGGTATTTTTAGACTCTATCGCTATATACCATATTTGGAATGGTAGTTCTTATTTAGTAACTGACTTTTCACTTCCAGTACTGATGAAAAATACTTATTTTGTATCCCCAAATTTTATTAGAAATGATCTTACCTTAATCGATAAGACTTCTATACAGAAAAAAATGTACCTGCTAAAAATTCTAGAAATTTTGTTTCTGAATAGTTGAAATCAGACTTTCTCAGTTCAGTTTGTCATAGCAAACTCATTTCCTCTGAGAAATTTCAAGGACCACTTTTGAGGAAACTATCAACATTCATTACAGTGCACGTTATCTTTTGATTGTGTATTTGAGCTTTAGAGGTGGGATCATATCTGACACACTCCTTAAGACCCAAGGTTGCGAGTAGAAACCCTGGTAGGCACCCAAAGTTAGCCCCACGGTGGTATCTCAGAGTACTTAGTAATAGTTTTAAAGCACAATGGTATTTAAATTCAGATGTCTCCTTACCAAAACTCTGCAGTTTTATTTAAAAAGATCTGTTTTTATTCAAGAAAATGTGATTCTTTATACAATAGTTGGGAAAATATTGGAAGTTATTAAAATAATTGCATAGGAAAATTGGATATTACTTTTTTTTCTGGAAGATATTTGAATATGTTAAACCAATATTTTTAAATAAAACACATCCATAAATACCACTTTAAATTTTAGTCTATACAATGAACATAAACTATTTCAAGAAATGGATTCATTTCTCAGTTCATACTCAAGTTTAGCAGCTTATGCAGTTGAAGACAGACAACCCTTCTTTAGCCCTACCTTTGCCCTGCCTCTACCCTAAATTCCTCCAGGTTTTCAGCAAATATTTATAAGACCCTGAAAGTGTGCTCAATCCTAGATAAGTGAAAATGAATGAAATTAAACCCTAGGCATCAAGGAACTCACTAATTAGAGGGGTTAGGAATTTATAAGCAAGTAATTAATCTATAATAATGTAATTTTGAACAAGTAATAAAAAAAACACCCCACAGTGAAATCTTAACAGGGTAAGTGACTCACTCAAAATGGGACATGGGAACATGGAAGACTTTACAGGGAAGGCAACCTTTTGTTCATGCAACTGATGTAGTTCAGTGAGGTTGGGAAGAACATTCTGGGAGGAAAGAATAACATAAGCAAAGACACATGTAGGAGACTTAATGGCTAGGAATGGTTTAATATAGCTAGAATTAAGAATGACTATAGAGTTGGCAGATGGAGGGTTGTGAGGCAATAAAACTGGAAAGACAAACTGGAATCCAACTTATGCCATGAGTAAGGGATTCCATAGGATCCTTTAAAGAATAATTAGCCAATGAGATCTGAGGCAGAGGCTTGAGCTGAAGGAGTTTGATTTTGAAGGAGACCTTCGTTGGCATGTGGAGGAAAGCCCTTGAGATCAGGGAGGACCACATATCAAAAGGTATGGCAACACTTCAGGTGAAAAGTGGTGAGGGCCTGAACCTTGGCAGTGCAACTGAAGGAAAGGACAATGGATTCCTGGATATTTCAGTTAGGAAATCCAGGGTGATCCTTGGCCAAGCATTAATGTAGGTACTTTCATTGCTTCGTTTTTAGGACACTGGCAATGCCTGCTCTGGGGCCCAGCCTTCTTTAACCTTGTTCCTCTCTTGCTGTTCCCAGGCAAAGCACACATGACATTTCAGGCTCACCCTGCCTTCTCCCCACAAGTAAGCCTCAGGACCATGGCCTGTTCAGAGGCTGCCCATGTCACCAGAATATATCGCTCATGGGCATACTGGCCCGCAATACTGTTCTCTTCCACATCATACTCTTGCCAAGTATCATCAGGGGCAACTGGCCTTCTAAGGTCATAATCAGATTATCTGATAAACACAGTCAGTAAAATATATTAATTGGAGGGGCTTGGGGCAAACAACTCTTACTTTCTGTATCTCTATCTACATCTCTATTTGCATTTCACTTTATGAAAAATTTGTCTGTGCCTTGGTTTTCTATGCCCTAAAATTTATTCTGATTTCAGAAGTAAAGCTTACTGAATTCCTCAAATCAACTTAAATCTTAAAAGAAGTATAAAAGAGATAATTACATTCTGTTATCATGCATTCATTAATTCATTCACCAAATATGTACTGGGAACCAGTGATGAGTGAGACCCTGTGTAAATTTGAAAGGGGAATGATTTACAGTTAAACTGGTTTAGCAAATACTTTGTGACAGCACTGTGCTAAGTACTTTAAACATCGTATGTATACAATTAGAATATTATGTAATTTTTATTATTAATTGTTATACCCATTTCACTGATAATAGCAGAGAGGTTATATCCTAGGAAGTGATGGATGCCTGAGACCTCTGCTTGATTCTTAAGTCCATGTCTTGGCTATAGCTCCTATGTTCTGCTGCCTTTTTTATTCTGTACTAATCCCAAAGTGATTTTTACTTTTGAAGAATTTAATATTCATTTGATTAGATAAATGGGTTTTTTAAAAAATCAAAATACCGTTTGACAGTTGTTATTATATATATTACCAAAGTGTTATGGGAAAACAACTGAATAGAGAGATCAACTGAGAGAAAAAAAAAAAGACTTTATAGCTGTAGCTGGTTTGGCTCAGTGGATAGAGTGTCGGGCTGCGGACTGTAAGGTCCCGGGTTCGATTCTGGTCAGGGGCATGTGCCGTGGTTGCAGGCACATCTCCAGTGGGGAGTGTGCAGGAGGCAGCTGATCGATGTTTCTCTCTCATCGATGTTTCTGACTATGTCTCTCCCTTCCTCTCTGTAAAGAATCAATGAAATAATTTTTTTAAAAAAAAGACTTTATACATGAACTGATATTTTCATAGTATTTTGAAAAAAATGCAGTAATTTTAGAGGGCTGATTACTGGACACATTTCTTGAAAGAGGACCGGCACAGCCAGAGGACAGATCTGAAAGGAAAAGGGGAAGATTGTTGAGAATAGAACACAGGCTGTGTGGCATATTATGATGAAGAGAAAGAAGATATGGAGAAATCAACAAAAGTAAATAGAGAGTGCAGAGTAATTATCCAAGAGTGGATTCCTCAAGCCAAAAGAGTAGAGAGCATCAAAGAATATCAACTTGCAATTAGATGGCAATTATGGGGCATGCCTTGAACACCTTATATGTTAGAAACCAGATGGTAGTTGGTTATGTGAAAAGTAAGGAAATAGAGAAGAATGTAGATTTCTTTCTGAATGTTTGGCTACATTTTAAATGCAGGAAAAACAATGGTAGCTTCAAGGAAAAGTGGGATCTCGGAGGAGATATATTTACAACAAGAAAGATAAGTATTTAAGTGGACTTTTCTTTTACTATTGATTAAGGGTCCACTGTTAAGAGAGTATGCAGGATGTAGAAATGGTTCAGACACAAATTTTATGTTTGTGTTTTTCCAGAATATGAACATGTTTTCTAGCTTTATGATATTTATAATTTATCTGGCACTAAAATATAAATAATTTTTTTAAAAAATGAATAAAAAGTGTATGATCATGTACAATACACAAATTGTTTATCTAAAATAATATTAAGCCCTCAGATTATCTTTCTCATGGTTGATTCTCCTTATAAGGGTAGATCTTAGGAAACAGATTCGATCCTGAGATTTCAATTGGGAATGGTCATGTATCCTTAGTGAAAAGCTAATATGTACTATTTTATCTAAAAACCTTTACGGGAAAATATTTCTTTAACAGATAAGATATAGTTTTGTTGTTAAT